TGTGAGGCCAGATGTTAGGCTGGCCGACGGAGCCGCCCAGTGCCGACCCAATCACAGCGCAGCGTGCGGGGCCCCGAGTTGACGCCTCTCTCCCTATGAGTCTCTCTAATGCCGCCGCAGCTGACCATATGGTACCCACCAGAGGTACTTTCCTAAGTGGTACCCTGTAGCGATATTTCTCTCGTTGGTGCGCACCGTTCGCCTTCTCCAAAACCCACCCCTGCACTACGTTGTATAGATTTTGTCAATGGAAAATATGAAAATTGCGCTGCGTGCTTGCAATTTTTACACAGTCCCAAGTTTCTGTCTCAACTGAAGGCGAAGTTATCGGTTGCGACAAACATTGCCTTACCAGTTTTGATGTAGCCGGTTGTTCCAGTTACACGGAGAAAAAATTTGAGTTTGTGATAGCTAAATTGGAGTTCAGTCTGCCCCCTCAGTCCCAACACTAGACGTGTTAACGTGCTGGCTGGCTTAGACGGTCCATCCAAACACATCGGATCATACAGAACGTCCTATAGTCCCCATAACTCAGGGGGTAGACTGAATACCATTTTAGTCACAACAACCAAATTTTGCGGTCATTTGATGACCAACCTTTTTCTCAGTGTACAATTGGCTGATTGACGTTGATATTAATTTAGAGCACGTGCAGGTTGGTTGTTTTTCCAAAATGCTAGGAAACCAGGAACTGTTTATTCCACTGCTACCACTGCCGACCACTGTTTTGTAATAGTTTATTTTCATTATGACGAAAATACCATGGTTCCTGTTTAGTAGTTGTACAATGATGTCGTCGCGGGTTTTCTTGTGATCAGTTCAGGGGATTTGTTGAGAAAACCAATGACGACATCCCTGAACTAAAAATTAGCCATGGTATATTGTCCGTTCTTTGTTCTTAGGCATTCAATCAATTTAATTTGTCCCTTTTCTTTTCATTTACTGACCGAGCGGTTCTAAACCAGCGACATGTGGCTAGCTGTTCCTTTAGAACCGTGTGGTTGGCGTGCAGAGGTGCTACTGCTTGTCGGTCACACAACAGTGGCTGGGTGCAGCTGCAATCCCGACGGAAAGTCCCAGCTGCCCCGCCGCCGCGTCCCGCCACAAGCGTCGCGACCGACGCCTGGCGCCCAGACGCCGCCGTGCCGGGGCGCGACGGGGCGCGGCGTAGCGGGGCGGGGCAGCTGGAGTAGACGCGACGCGGCGCGGCGCCAGCCAGTCATGCCGCACGGCGTTGCGACGCCTCTGCACACCGGAATTATTTCTCGGCTTTTAACTTCACTTCGCTGCTTGTCGACGTGTATTATGCATTGAAGTCGCTCCACACGATGCCAAATCAATTTCGAGAGAAACGCTTACAGCGCAGCTCCGTTTCGCGCTCGGCTTGTCTTGCGTGCCGTGCCCCGCCCGCGCGCACAGTCCGCCCCGCCGTGCGACGCCCACCCTGTGAGCTTTGGTACCGCTTGGTGCGGCGAGGATTGGCGTGGGCAGCCGCCTGCAATCCCAACTCCCACTCACACGAGCCTGGACCTATATCAGCGGAGCAGGGCGGATACTCTTGAGTACCCGTGTGCCCGCGTGTGCCGACACACCAAGGCACAACGGTGTTTATCGGTGTCTTTCTCCATGCTCTCTCATTTTTAAGCCGTGCCCTTCTGCCGCGAAAAAGCAATGAAGCGGGCTTTATGCAATCAGTGGTCTTGCGTTGTCGGTCTGTCTCATCTCACCTTTTGCCACAAATCCCCGGTTTTTAGGAAAGCGTTTTTCTTAGAATGCGTTAAGTCCAGCCCCCCCCCTTTTTTTCTTGCTGGCGCCCCTGTCCCACTCGGTTTATTCCATAGGCATAGCTGATTATGAATGTTAACCTGCCCTCATGATACTTTTGCCAAATGTGGACGAGCATAAATTAGTCAGTATTTGACTACCACAGGTTCAAAAGTTGGTTGAATTAAAACTCGTTTTCTCAGTACATTGGCTATATTCCAGCAAATAATAAGCTTGATAGGAATGCAACTGGTCGATCTCCTGCAAAATTCGTATGGTCCTGTATTCAGGGACCAGACTCCGACCTCCTACCTGTTCGATGAGAGTCAGTGACCGTATTTTATCTAAAATCGCTGGTCATTGCTGATGACCTTGATTAAATTTTCGTGCTCTGGCCCATTCTCTCTCCTCTCTCTCCCTCACACACACATTCACACACTCAAAGGAGCGCGCGCGCGCTCGTTCATGGCAGAAAAGGCATCAGCTGGGCCGTACGACTCAGTCGATTCCCTCGCCCGATACGGACTCCACCCCCTGCGGCCTGTCCGAGTGCCCGGTGGTATGTGCACTCAAAAAAATGTTTTATTGGCCTTACCTCCGGCCCTTTAACATTTTCTTGACCCAGTTTCACTTGACCAACTGCGCGGCCACAGCTGAACCAAAGTTGGAAGGAGTTAAATTTTCGCGGAGAGAGTTTATCTCGTGGCGCAGCTGCAGGTGCGCAGAGCCTGGTCGTGGCCACACCTTTCATTCCATCAGGACACCTATCATCCTCACCGCAACAGATTTGATGATGCGTGGCTGCCACTTGCACTGGCACTTCCCCCGCCACGCCCGAGCAGCAGCGCCGCCCTCTTTACACTCTTTACCTCTCGCCCGTCTCCAGTCGTCATCGTCAACCTCCTTGTCCTCCACCTACCCTCCTCTCTCTCACTCACATACACACACATGCTGGAGCTCCCGTTGTGCCCCCTACAATAAAATCCATATCTCGCGCGTCTACTTCCGGTCATAACGCTCCCATCCTGCCTCCCGTACAGCGTTGTGGTTATGAGCACTCTAAGCTCAAAGGGGGTAAACAGCGGGGCCATTTTCTCTAGAATCAGCAGCAGCCCAGTGCAGACTGGTGTGCGCTGTCCAGGATGACGCTCGCATGAGCTGCACCCGCGCCAGGCGAACTGACTCACGCGGGCTGTGCCGGGCTATGCATAGCGAGGCGGCCGTCAGTGACTGTGTTGCATGCAGGCAGGCTTCTACGAAAGCGTCATCACGTTGGCCGCACTTACTCGCTGCTGTGTACAATTCATGGCCGGTTTTACGTCCGTTTTCTGGCGCCACACGCCGCGCTTGTAGAGAACAGTCACGTGGTTGCGCGAAGAATATAAGATCTTCCGATGGAAAAAAAAGAAGAAACCAATCGCATGACGATATCGCGGATGTGAGTAACGATTCGAAGGAATGCAGGCGCCACTTTCAGGCCCGTTATCTACGTAGGGGCCACCAGGTGAGAGTGAGATGGCGTTATTTCGGCACGTGCGCGCCTTGCCTTTTAATTCGGACAGTACACTCGAGACTACGTGGCCTGGATGAGGAGTGCACCTAGAAAATGTTTTCTTTTATTTAACGGATTTAGCCAAATTAAAAATTGGGTACGCACCATGATAGATTGTTAAATGGGATATTAATGTGAACAACTCGAGATAAATAAAGCTGCAGTTAACACTGGTAAACAAGTCTTTAATTTTGCCCGTCAACTGACGTCAAGTGTGCATTTTGTCGACACATTGTGGTGTCTTAAATGTCAATTAATGTTAAAACTTTCGACCTTTCCGAAAAGTATAGCAGATGCACACCTTACGGTTCCTTTTGATAGTATTAGAACTGTGTGTGTCCAAGTTTGCAGAATTTGAACATTTACAAAACGTCTAAAATTTGCACACAACAAAAGTGTGTTACTTGAGTTAAACACCATGTAACGTGTAAAATCAAAACTTACACACGTTGGTGTGCAAATTGTTCACACTTGTCTTACCAGTGTTGAACAGAAAATTTCCGTTCACGATAATGACAGTAAATTACCCCTGAACCACATTGTAAAATACTTATGAACTAAGTGCTTTGCAGTGTTACGACCGGTGTATTCATTCTTTGTATCGCAAAGATATTGTTTTGCAAAGCATTTCTTTGTTAGGTTAGGAATGTGCTTACGAGCAATCGATTTGCATTACAAACTATTTGTTTTTAAGGTTACAAAGAATTAGTTCGTAATAAAACGCTTCAAAATCCTTCGTAAGCTACGAAGGTTTTGGTTTGCATTACAAAAGACCCGTTGCTTGTAAGCAATTTGCAGTGCAGCACGGGAACGTCGTTGTATTTCTGTGGAGCTATATATTTTGGGCGGAACGATAGCGAAGCACATCACTCCACTGACCGGAAACAATTCACTCTCTTTGTCTATCTGTTTGTCTGTTTGATAACTAGAGATTGAGCTAGTAACCTGAAGTTTTTAGGGTCACTTTGCACTACTAAAAGAAAAACAAAATTCAACATTTATAGCTCAGAAATATACCTTTCAGGAAAAGAAGTTCGAATAAAGCGTGGTTTGTTTAAAATATTTTTAATGCTTTCTAAGGCACAACTAAAGAAACTGAAGTTAGTCTTTTAGGCGAAGATTCTCATATATAGTCATTATTTCTCTACCACAGCAAATATTTCGTTCGAGGAACTATTTTATTTGTTTCAGAAGTTTGTTCTGTTGTCTGCTATAACAAGCTGATATTAAAAATCTTTTCTTTTTTTGTTCTAAGACAATTTGTGGCATATGCTGACGGCAATGGGATTCTGGAAGTACATTGTTCTGGGTATATTTGTATCTGCTCAAACTGTATGTTGTGGGTTGCAGGTGTACTCGGGGCTGGACATCCTCACGAACAAGGCGACGGAGGAGGAGCGCTGCGGTGTACCTCACCACCTGCTCGGCCACCGGACCCCGGGGGACCACTACAACGTGTACCAGTTCAGAAACGAAGCCTTCAGGATCGTATCCTTTATGTCTGTCTGGCGCGCGCAGCGTCTGCACTTGGTTTTTCGTACAGCTCAAGTAGCTTCAACCGCCCCCTGGTTCAGACCGTCAGGAGCGCAGCGCCCGTCCAGCGCACCGTCGCATAAAACGTAAATGTTTGCGGGACCTCAAAAGTTCTATGACTCGCTCCCTCAGAGTCAAAATATGTTGCTACACCAACGATTACCGTGCGAGGAGTTGACGCGCAATTTCTCCTAGCCCAGGTTGTCTCCATCCCCATCGACCCCCACGGAACTCTCACAGTCAGCTCTGCGTACCTCTCTGGGCCCCTAATAAAGGAGGAGGAAGAAGGGCACTTTGCCTTTGCTGGAAGAGACGGTATTGGGGATTGCCTAAAAAGAACGAAGCAGAGGGGCGAGGCGTGCTGGTCGGGTTGCCGAACACCATTTCGCAACATGTCCCGTTATCGTTAGCGCGCGCGGGGGCGGATCTCTGCAGCCGGATCGTTATTTGATGCGCCGTTTCCGGGCGTGCTCTAACGTCAAACTTATTGCAGCGCGCCTGCGTGGGCCGCACCGGCAGGACAGGCCGGGGGCGGCACAGCGCAGCCTCTGCACCACGCTCCTCTTGTCGATCGGGGGGTTTAATCGGTACGTCTTCCGGTGCGACCGGCTCGCCCCTCCCAGCTCGGCTCTGCGTCCGGCTCGGCTGGGCTCGCGCCCGTGCTCGGCTCGGCGAGTGTGGTGAATGTGCGACATCGCATCCTGTCTAGGACATGCTGATCACACTGGCGCCCGCCCCCCGCCGCCAGGCGACGCGTTGCAGATCATGCTGCTGCTTGTCGCTGACTGGACTGCTAAGCGGTCATTTTCGTTCGTTTTCTGGCTTTACTCGGCGGTAACAACTGACAATGTGAGAACAACCGACTTGGCCTTTTTACTCTGCTCCGTCAGTACCCGGCCGCCTCCTTCCTGCACTTCATCCGCTCGCCCTCGTACCGCTCGAGCTGATTGGCTGCTCGTTCACCCGTCGCGAGATCTGGTTCCTGATTGGCTGGTGGTGTGTGCTCTCGCACGCTGATTGGCCGCGATCCGCTCGCGCCTTTGTTGCTGAGCAGCAGGTCGTCGCGCTCGCGATAGTGCTGCGTGATTAGCGAGATAGTGGCTCCCTTACACTTACTCAAGGACCTGCCCTGTGCTGATAATTGAAGTGCGAGATGTTGATTCTTATGAACGTTAGGAAAGAAGTGAATGACAAGTAATACGTTTATGACGCCCACTTGTACTTTTTCATGCGGCTCCTGGCGCCGGCATTATTTTTACGTTCGATATCTCATCGATGCGATACGTTGTTATCGCCGCGCCCAGCCCTGCAGGTGCCTTATCGCTGCACAGTAAGTATCTGTCACATCACATAACCCTGGAGCGGTTACAACTTTATTTCCTGCAGAAAGATAGAGCTTATCGCCCGAGGTCGAAGGAAAAGTAATTAAAAGGCGCTGGAAAAGCAAGTCGACATCGAACATTCATCTGTTTTTATTTCTTAAAAATTCAATTTTTTCAAACATGAAGTACAGACAACTTTTTAGGGAGGAAGGCCTTTAATAATGCCTCACTTACGTTTGTTTGTCTCAGACAATATCGGACTACCTTTCGAACCGTCCAGGAATAACATAATTTTGTGGGGGGCAGGAATTCGTTATATTTGTCGTCAAAAGATTTAGACTTATAATTTATGAGACATGAATTTTAGGACGCATTTTATGAGATCTAGTAGTCAGACTTTCAGGTATAGATTTATGGTTCTTTTCCCTCTGTTTGCCTACCGTTTTTGGTCGGATTATATTGGCATTTATTACTGACGCAAAACAATCCTGCTAACTGTTAAATCAGCATACATAGAAGCGTTTACTGTTAAAATAGAGTAGTGGGAATAAAATATGCTGATTTAACATTTCTCATTCTTACACTGCTATAAAAACGTCTCCATTGAGTTTTCATAAACCCACTAATTTTTTATTATCTTTTTTGTACGTATACTTGTGTCGAGGATGATGAATTTTCTAAGGTTAGTCCAACAAATGTTGATATCTTCTTTCCGGGCCCTTCTTCGTCTATAAAAACGTTTGACAGTGTAAAACAGGGTGTATTGCCTCCTACATAAAAATGCGTCGCTTTGTTTTTTGTCATGTCTGCAGCGCGTTGCGTGGCGGTGTGTGACAACACCGACAAAAATAACTCTAAGTAAAGGGCGACACGGTCGAGGCCGGAGGGCAGGGGGGAGGAGAGGGAGCGTGCGCCGCAAGACAAGGCAAGGCAACCGGTTACTGAGCCCGCCTGCGAGGCTCAACTACTACCACTCGCTAAAAAGGTAGCGGGGAAAAAAACTTGAAATCTCATCATATCAGTAATAATCTTTTTGCTAGAGGATAACAATATGTATGAAATACGACAGGCTGTTAATAGTTCGACCTCCTAAACAAGTCACACACAATACAAAAATATTCTACGACGATCCATATTATCACGGATATTATGGAACAAGAAAATATAGACAGAAGTATCTAAATGGACAGTTTCAAACAGACTCGGCCACTCTAGAGCTAATTGCTCCCATTGCTCCCCTTTTCGAACCCGCACAGTTTTCGTTGCCTCGTTTAAACTCACTTGACTTTTGCCAGTGCATCCGTCTCACCTGCTGGTGGCACTTTGTGTCGCTGCACCGTTAAGGACAGAAAAAAACACATGGGCGGACTGTTTGCTCTTGCCTTTGCACTTCCTTTCGGCACAGCGAGGCGGGCAGAGAGAGAGAGAGAGAGAGAGAGAGAGAGTAGGGAGAGGCAGAGAGAGGGAGGGAGCGCGAGAGAGATGCAAGAGGAAGAGGCGAGCAGGCAAGTCAACGGCTGGCCATCGTAAAGCAGCCGTCGTTTGCGATTGTTCGCCCCGCAGAAGACAGTTGCAGCAAAGCGGTCAGCTGCAGTCCCCCCCTTTACCCCACCCCCTCCTCCCATCCTGCCCCTACCGTCAAAGGGCCAAAGACGTCGTC